ACTAATATGGTGTATAGTCCTAGGTTCATTGAAGTGTCATTAAAATCCAATGAGTGGTTCTTTAGACATAAGTGCAACAGCAATGGAACAGCAAAAAGTTAACTAATTATGCAATTTAGGTAATTAATAGGCACAATTATTTATCCCAAAATTAATCAGGTATCTGCATAGTCCTAAAAAATCTATGTCGCAAGTCTCATTTAAATGGGATGGATAGGTGAAAAGCTGAAAATTAACTAATTATGCTAATTATGCTAATAAGGTGATAAGGTGATTAATATGCACAAATATTTACCCAAAAACTAATTAGGTCTCTGCAGTCTTCAAGTAACTATGTACCAAGTTTCATTGAAATGTGATCATTACTACTCGAAATATCAAAAGCTGAAAAATAATTAATTATGCAAATTAGGTAATTAATATGTACTGATATTACCCTAAAAACTATCAGGTCTGTGCAGTGTCATATGACATCTATGTACCAAGTTTTATTGAAATGTGATGATTAGTACTTGAGATATCAGTGGAAAAGCCGAAAATGGATTAATCATTATGTAAATTAGGTAAATAATAATATTAACAGATTTTTACCCAAAACTAATCAAATCTGCGCATTAGTTCAGAGCATCCATGTGCCAAGTTTCATTGAAATCCAATGAGTGGTTCTTCAAAAATCAATGGAACAGTCATAGAACAGCTTAAAATCAGTTAATTATTATGCAAATTAGGTAATTAATATTCATAGATTTTTACCAAAACCAAATCAACTCTGCGCATTATCCCAGAGCATCTATGTACCAAGTTTCACCAAAATCTGATTAGTGGTTTTTGAGATAACGATCAAACAAAAAAAGTGACATACATACAGACAGGGTAACTGCAAAGACTCCCTTTTGTGCTTCGCACACAGGAGTCAACTAGGTTTATGCCGCGACCTGTAGCAGTAGCAATGTTACCGTCGAGCAGGAACAAACTGAAGGCAGCCACTTGCATGATCGATAAATGTCCAACGGCGGCGGCCTACGTACATCACACACATTGGTGATTACCAAAAAGGCCACATCAAGGCTTGCTAAAACACGCAAATGGATATGTTATCACGAATGTCACCATAGGTTAAAATCATAGGTAAAACGGCCATGCTTTCAAACTCATACAGGTTGCGGGAATAATTAATACGTCACAATTATCATGGCGGTCTTTGTTTTTCACCTAAGCGATCGAGTAATCAAAAATAATCACTCAAATTTACGTCTATTTCAAATAAAAAATAAGTAACATTTTTTCATGGCATGACTGAGTATGAGGAATTATTGGTATAAACGGTGTATAACATCGCGAAGTAAGTTATGTCACGCCGTAACTTTGATGATTGTTTGGAAGTGTTATTTGTTCGTTCATTTACTGTAAATGTAAAAGCTGATGGTCGGAATAATAACCAGCAATCCGTCGGTTTTTCTGTAGGAGAATTTTGTAGTAAATAAGATCATGAAAGTCTTGAACATAATCCTGGCTGGAATGTTTCAGATGAGTTTCATTTAACCTTTTACAATTTATTTGTTTCTTTTTAGTCTGCAGCATTTGCATTTCGAGAATGTTTCATTTTAAAATTCAAACTCTTCTAAGTTGTAAAAAACGTAATTTTCTGACTCCAAAAAAAAATATTTGCACTGACTGTAACGGAGCTCATTAATATTACAAAAGTGCCCAAAATAAAAGTGTTTATAACACTGTGTAAAGCAAATAAATATCTGCCACATTGTTTTTGAAAATATATGTTTATTGTGTGGGTGTAAATGTGCTTTGGTCAATTCCTATTATGTAAATGATATGCAAATAATATGCAAATTAGGACGCCACAGTGGTTTAAATTCCTGGGGAGAAACTGGAAGTTGACCAGTGTTGCCGCCTAGTCTAGGACGTAACGTATCTAAGAGTGGACTCTTGATTTCATAGATATTGTTACCAACTATGATGTAGAGCAACTACATTGGTTTGATGAATCATCCGTTATTAAAACTACTGGAAATCGCATGTACGGTCACACTGAAAGGGAAACGCGTTGTGGGTCCAATGACAGTGGCTAGAAGTCTGGGTGCGTCGCAAATGTATCAAAACAAACTTTATTGTAAGTTCACACAGCGGTGTCATCCAACGACCTACATTTGCACACTCAAGGGACGGCAATTTGCGTAAAATTCCAAAACCGGGCAATGCCACATTTTCTTACTTTCAATCACATTTAACCTATTTAAAATAGGAATTTGAAATCCACCTGGGTACGTGTTTCAATACACATTTCTTGTTTCGCTCTCGCTATATCCGATCGAATCAGAACTCGACATTACAGTTCGAACAGATTCATATTTCACACCATGCCGTTTTATTACCAGATGTTTTATTAAAAGAGCACGAGTACTAACATCTTTCTGCGGGAAATCATGCTCATTATGCAACGGCAAGTGCAGAGAAATGGGGTACGTATACATAGACAATGAACTGAATATGTATGTCAATTTCGATTACGCTCTGTTCTAGTACTTTCCTGAAAGGCAATGCCACTATATATGCACAAAATATATCTTGTGAATTATCGATCTTTATTGGTTTCTCGAAAGATTGGACGAAATTTTGTTTCTCAAGAGTAGATTCTATCACTTTTTTTAGTATTGACACATTTTTAATATTGCATACCCTTTTAACGAACGTAAATATTTTCTGTGTTTCTCATTACACCATTTTCACGCGCCTTGATGCGGCGCACTTATTGCAAGTTGCGTGTGGTGCGCCTATTGACTATTGTGTGCACCGGGTGCGCCGAGTGCACCATTTAAGCGGTGCACAATGGGCTAGTCCGTTCGTGATTTTTTAGACGCATTGTACTGTATCTACGACATGCTCTATAATGAATATTTAAAATTTGAACATAATCAGTCAAAGCAAGTCTGATTTATGACACTAGAACCACATTCATTAAAACAAAATGGCCGCCAATCAGACATTTTGAATCTTATCTGAAAAACAAAATGATGTGCATCAAGGTCCTATAATGTGTAACGTATATACCAATTTTGAACAAAATACATCTGTAAACAGCCGAAAAATGCTCAATTTTGATGATTTTTAGCACAAAAATGGCAGCCATTCGGTCATCTTGAATCAGATCGTGAAACTAATTGACGTGCATATGTATAATATCATGTATGAAGTATGTGTGAAGTTTGATTGTGATTGGTCAAGGCATTTCTAAGATATAGGTCCGGACGGACGCACAGACACAGAGGTCAAAACATAAGTCCCCGTTTTCGGACTACTAATTAATGTACTCACTTTTTCACTAAGAATACGTTGAACTGGTGACGGGTCATCAAAGACAATAAAACCAAAATTGGGAATTTTTCCACCACCACTTTTAGTGTTGATTCTCATTTCTACCACGTTGCCATAAGCTATCAAAAAAGAAAAAGTAAAAAAACAATAGAGTGAAATCGTATACCTCCTTTGTATAGCTAATACAATAGTATGAAGTCATTGAGAAAGCTGAAGTTTTCACTCAATAAAACCATTAAATATTTACAAAGCTAAGATTAACTGCAATGTCAAGCAAGACAATTTACTATAATAAATTAAAAGACAACAAGAAATGAGACTTGAAACATACCCATAAAATGATTTTTTAATTCATCTTCGTTAATATCATGTGGCAAGTTGCCAACAAAAACTTGGTGGCTGTCAGGATGTCGAGGACGAGATCGGATTGGTTGGTCACTCATTGCCCCATCACTACCAATATTGGGAGGAGTACCACGACCCATGCCTCGACCGCTTTGTCGAGGTGCCCTTTGGGGAAGGGGTTCAGCTCTTCCAGAGCCCGACTCAGTGATTTTATTCTGTTCTTTAGATGGGGGAGATCCAGGCTAATGAAAATAATTAAATAAATAAAAACATTACCATGTAAACATATTGCAGTGATGAATATATTTTTAAGTTGCATTGCATGTACTGTTGTGTGAAATTAAACAAAACTGAAATAACGACGAATCTGTTCTTTACAGTTGTGTAAACATTAACGACCTTAATAATTACCTGTGAAGGAGATTGTTTGACAACATTTGGAGCACTGACAATCATCGGAGAATTCTGCCTGGCACGATCTGCCCATGACAAAGTTTTCGGGGTTTCTAGAAACAAAAAATTAAACAAGGTTAGGCAAGTATCTTTAGAGAATATTCCAATCCATAAAGGCATAGCAAAGCAGTGCATTGCATGTGGTTAAGGTAAATCAGAGTTCTGTCCTGCCTGGTCTGACTTACCTTGAGTCACTAGTTAATTTCCATGACTTTCTAGACAATGCAATTTAGCTACTTCAACTTTTTACATATTTTAATGACAAATTAATCTAGCTTCATTTAAAAAAAAAGGACAAATTCATTTTTTGGAATTTCCTCTAGAATACACATCTTCAGATTTTGATGTCCAACCAAGGCAGTAGTACCGTAAAAATTCAATCAAAGAAAGCTTAGAAAGAACTCCCATGTGCTGAGAGTATTAGAGACACATTAAATATAATTCGAAATTACTTAGCTGAAAACTAATTATGCAAATCAGAAAATTAATATGACCAGATTTGAGTGTAAAACTAATGAGGTCTGCGCAATGTAACAGAAAATCTATGTCTCCAAGTTTAATTGAAATGTGATTAGAACCAAAAAATTATGAATTATTATGCTTATTAGGGAATTAATATGAACAGATTTTTACCCCAAACTAATTAGGTTTGTAAATTGTCCTAGAGCATCTTTGTACTAAGTTTCGTTGAA